CATTGCAGATACATTTACAAGTAGCAAACACTGCTAAAGGAGTTGAATAATGTGCTCAAAGTAACAGGACCATGATTCAAAACTAGGTCTAGTTGATCTATTTGTTAATACACATCAACTGTGTATTAACAGAGTAACCATTTTATGTTAACTTTTGTCACAGTTAATTAGCTTTAAAAATAGTGTGGCAGGGGTGCTATGTCCAAATTCACATTTGGGGAAATTACTAAGAGTGTTATTAATATGATCAGATTAGGGAAACTGTATGTGCATGTATGTGTGTATATGACTGTGTGTATATGTGTATGTGTGTATGTATGTGTGCATATTTATGTGTGTGTGTGTATGCAGCAGTACCTAGAGGTGTGGACTCAGTTAAAGAAGGGCTTTATTTTGTTTTTAAAATGAACAATAACAAGAGCAGATTTGTGTTCTAGTGGGAATAATCAAAGGAGAGTACACAATGAGCAAAGTTCTGAAGGTCAAAGAGGTGGGTCCCAGAGCGCAGTGGATGGAGGGAGGGACCTCTTTGCCACCAGGAGACCATACAGGAGGGGCAGCTACCTTTGTGGCACTTCCAGTGCCTGCCTTGCGCAGGGTTTGTTATTGTTATGGCCTTTTTATTCTATTTGCCACCACACACTTTTTTCTTTACAGCTTTATTGAAGCATAGTTGACATACAATAAACTGTACACATTTAGAATGTATGGTTTGATAAATTTGACTTATACATATACCCCCAAACCCTCACCACTATTAGAAGAACGAACATACCCATCAACCACCTGAATTTTCTTGTGTCCCTTTGTGATGTCTCCCTCCAGTCCCTCCCCAGTCCCGCCCTACCCGGGCAAACACTGATCTGCTCTCTGTTGCTAGATTCTCTTGCATTTGCTAGACTTTTAGATAGGTGAGATCACACCACATGTACTATTTCTTGTCTGGCTTCTTTCACTTAGCACAATTATTTTGAGGTTCATCCATGTTGTTGCATACATCAATTGTTCATTCTTTTTGTGTTGCTGAATAGTATGCCATTATATATAATAAACAAGTCACAATTTGAGTCCTTGTTCACCTGTTGAAATACATTTGAGCCATTTTTTCAGTTTGGACTATTGTTAAATATAAAACTGCTATGGACATATTCATGTACAAGTTTTTGTCTACATATAAGTTTGTATTTCTCTTGGATAAGTAAGTACCTGAGAGCAAAATGATTGGAACATACGGTAGGTATATGTTTAACTTTTTATGAAACTGCCAGTTTTTTTCCAAAGTGGTTGCACCATTTTATACTTCCTCAGCCCTCTGTCATTGGGTTTTGATTTAATTCCTTTGTAGTGAGAATACATACTTGGTATGATGCTTTCACTCTCTATGAGATGTTTGTTTTAAAATGTTACATAAATGGATTAATATGGTGTGTGGCCTTTTGAAAATGGCTTTGTACACTCAGCATATTGCTTTTGACATTTACCCAAGTTGTTGCAGTACCAATCGTTCATTCTTTTTTGTTGCTGAGTAGCAGTTCAGGGTATGGCTATACCACAGTTTGGTTAACTGTTCACCTATTGAGAGATTATTTTGGGTTTGTTTTTTTTTTTACAGTTTCTGGCTATTACAAAGAAAACTGCTATGAACAATTATGCACATATAGGTTTTTATACATATGTATATTCTTTTCTGAAATAAATGCCAAGGATTATAATTTCTGAGTTGGATGGAAAGTGTAGGTTTAGTTTTGAAAGAAACTGCTACTAAATTCTTTTCCAGAGGCTGTGACATTTTATATTCTTATCGGTGATGTATAAGAGGTCCCGTTTGTACACATCCTTGTCAGCATTGAGCATTATCACTATTTTTTCATTTTAATTATTCCACTAGGTATATTGGAGAGCTGACATTTTAACAATATTAAATCTTCTGATTCATCAGTACAGTATATCTTATTAAGTTTTCTTTAATTGCTCTCAGGAATGTTTTGTAGCTTTCAGTGTGCAGGTATTGCATATCTTTTGTTAATGTTATTCCTAAGTATTTCACATTTTTGTTGCTATTTTAAATGTCATTTTTAATTACAATTTTAATTACTAGCTCATTGCTAGTACAATTGGTTTTTGTATATTACTTTGGTATTCTGCAAACTTGTTAAATTCAATTATTAGTTCTAGGGTATTTTTTATAGATTCTGTTAGATTTATATATAGGCTGTCATGTTATCTGAAAATAACAACAGTTTTACTTCTTTCTCCACAACCTGAATGCCTTTTATTTTATTTTTTTTTCCTTATTGCACTGGCTACAACTTCTATAATAATACAACTTAGAACACAAGTGGTTGATGGTAGGCATCTATGCCTTGCTGCTCTTCTTAGTGTTAAAGGCTTCTGTGTTTTACTATTAAGCATTTTATTCATTTTAGGGTTTTTGTAAATGCAAAAACTAGGGTTTTTGCCAAATTGAGGAGGTTCTTTCTCCTACTATAGTACTGAGAGTTTTATCAGAAAAGAATATTGAGTTTTGTCAAATAATGTTTCTGCATCTATTGATAAATATGTTTTTCTTATTCTATATGTATGGTGAATTGTATCAGTTGAGTTTTGAATGCTGAATCAACACTGTATTTCTAGAAAAAACTATACTTGATCATGAAATACTATCCTTTTATATAAAATTTTCATTTTTTAAAATTTTATTTAAAATTTAAATTTGTGTTTAAAAATGCACATCTATGTTTACAAGTTATAGATCTATACTTTTCTGATAATGTCTTTATGTTGTTTTGGGTTCAGAATCATGATGGCCTCATAAATGAGTTGAGAAAAATTTCCTTCTCTTTAATTTTTTGAAGGAATTTGTATAGCATTGGTACTATTACTTCACCAAATGATTGTTAGAATTCACTACTGAAGTCATGTGGCTCTAAAGTTTTCTTTGTTAGGAGGTTTGTAACTACAGTTTAATTTCTTTAATAGGTATAGAACAATTCAGGTTATATATTTCTTCTTGAGTGAGCTTTGGTAGTTTCCATCTTTTCAGGCACTGGTTTAATTTCACCTAAGTTGTCAAACTTATTAGCTTAAAGCTATTCATAAAATTCCCTTGTGACCCTTTTCATGTCTATAGAATCTGTAGTGATGTCCCCTCTCTCATTTCTGATGATAGGAATTGGTGTCTCTCTTTTTCTCCTGATCAGCATGACTAAAAGTAATTTTATTGATCTTCCTAAAGAAACAGCTCTTGGTTTTCTTGTTTTTCTCTGTTGCTTTTCTGTTTTTATTTCAATGATTTCTGCTCTGGTTTTATTTATTTCTTTTCTTCTGCTTATTTTTCCTTCAATATTTTATCTTTTTTTCTAGTTTCTTAAGTTTGAATCTGAGGGCATTTATTTTTCTCTTCTTTTCTAAATAAGCATTTAGTGCTCTAAATTTTATTCCTGTAAGTACTAGTTTAACTCCTTTCAAAAAAATTGAAATGCAATTTTTTCATTTTGGTTCATTTCAAAATGCTTTCTAATTTTTAAAAATTTCTTATTTGACCTACAAGTTATTTAGAAGTGTATTATTTAGTTTCCAAAGATTTGGGATTTTTCACATAACTCTGTTATGGGATTTGATCTAATTCATTTTTAGTTAGAATAGACACTTTGTATGATTTGAACCCTTTCAAATTTACTGGGATTTTTTTTTTTTTATGGCCCAGCATATGGTATGTGGTATATCTTGGCAAATATTCCATGTGCACTTATAAGGAATGTGTAGTCTGCTGTCATTGAGTGGAGTGTTCTATAAGTGTTAATCAGACCAAGTTGGTTGACAGTGTTGTCCCAGTCTTTTATATCTTTTCTGCCTACTTGTTCTATTATTATGGAAATCTCTAACTATACTTTTGGATTTGACTATTTTTATTTGCAGTTCTATCAGTTTTTGAAGCTCTTTACTTATTTTGAACCTCTGTTATTAAGTGCATAGATGGTTATTATTTTTATGGTTTCTTGATAAATTGACTCCTTTATTATGAAATGGAACTTTTCATCCTTATTAATTATTCTTTGCTCTAAAATCCAATTTGCCTTATATTAATGTAGCTACTCCAGTTTCCTTTTGAGCACAGTTCATAGGTATATTTTTATACATCCTTTACTTTTAACCTATTCAACTCTTCATATTTAAAGAGAATTTCATTTTGGAAATATACAGTTGAATCTTGCTTTTTAATTCAAGCAAATTAAAGCTGGAAACCTTTGCTTCTTAATCAGGGTGTCTAGATCATTTACTTTTAACATAATTATTGACATAGTTGTTTTTAATTCTAACATAATGTTATTTAATTTATTTTTGTCTCATGTGTTGTTTCTTCCTTTTTCTCTTTTCCTATTTTCATTTGGATTAATTTTTTATGATTCCATTTTGTCTCCTTTTTTTTTTTTTATCTTATTAGCTATAACTGTGACTTTTTTAAGTTGGTTCCTCTAGGATTGATAGAATACATGCTTATCAAAGTATGTACTAGAGTAATATTATACTTTTTCATGCAGTGCAAGAGCCTTACAACAAGGTACAGTTTACCTTTGAACAACATGGGTTTGAACTGCATGGGCCCATTTATACATGGATTGTTTTTAATAAATATATTCAGTCCTCCATATTCATGTGTTCTGCATCTGCAACCAAACATAGATCAAAAATATCATATTCATGAGATGTGAACCTACTGCATATATGGAGTGCTGACTTTTCAAATCCTGCATAGGGCTGACTGCAGGATTTGAGTACAAATAGATTTTGGTATACACTGGAAGTCCTGGAACCAATCCCATGCATATACTGAGGGATGAATGTACTTCTTTTTTTCCCTCCCAATCTTTGTGCTATTTTTATTTTGTACTGTAAAGATCTGTTCTACTACCTTCTCTCTTCCATTGTTTCTAAAAAGAAGTCTGCTGCTACATATCCTTGTTCCCCTGCTTATAATATGTTCTCCTTTTCCCCTATAGAAGCTTCTATATTTTTCTCTGTATCATTGCTTTGAAGCAATTTGATTAAGATGTGCAGAGGTGAAATTTGCCACGAGGGAGACCTGAAAAGAGGCTGTACATGGTGAAGTCCACATGTGACAGAGGGAAGGTGACAGCAATCAAGTAGAAATGAGATGATAAATGCTGCCAGCAATTATTTGGGACAAGAGCTAGCATGAGAATAGGAAGGAAATGGAAAATTGAAAAACAAAAATGAAGAAGAATTTTTCCCCCTCCTGAGAACATAGAAAAGGTAATGTTTCAGTTTACTGTTATATCAGAAGTGCAAAATGAGAAAATGGTAATAAATCAGGATGAATTTTCATTTTACATAGAGAATAACTTTTTAATAATCACTCCGATGATATATTAAGTAAGATCTTGGTACTCAAAACTTTCAAGAAAAAATGTCACTTTTACTGGTTTGTAAATATTCCCCTCCATACAGGCTGTGGATTACACCAGCTTATCCCTTGAACTCCTCTCTCTGAGAATCTATCAATTTATGAAGATAAATATATATGAAAAAATATTTCTTAAGGTGTCTTAATGGCTGACATTGTTAGTTAATTTCAAGAGAGTAGAAGTACATGTCTTCACCTCCAGGACAGGACTTTCACTCCAGCCTTACTACATTCTAACTGTGTGACCTTGAGTAACCCACTTAATGATTGAATCCTCAGTTTCCCCAACTATAAAATGAATACAATAAAATTTATCCAACTTATCGGAATTTTGCAAGGACTAGATAACACAATACTTGTGAAAATACTTTGTCGACTATAAAGGACCATGAAAATATTAATTTTCATTTTTCCTAAATGAATTAACTTAATGTAGGTTGAAGGGAAAGTGAAAGTTTATGAATGCACTGATGAACACTGTGGGCAAAAAGTTTGTCAACAGTGTGCTTCGAGTGGAACTGAAAACACAGAATGGACTTCAGATTTGTGAAACTCCTAGAATAGCAGCTGATGAAGAAGAGAGGGAATTTAAAAAGTCCAAATTTATGGCATGCAACAGATATACAGGTATACCTTGTTTTATTGCACTTTGCTTTATTGTATTTTGCAGGTATTGAATTTTTTACAAATTCAAGGCTTGTGGCAACCGTGCTTCAAGTAAGTCTGTCTGCACCATTTCTCCAACTGCATGTGTTTGTTTTGCATTTATGTGTCACATTTTTATAATTCTTACAATATTTCAAAATTTTTCATTATTATTTTATCTTTTATGGTAATCTGTAATCAGTGATCTTTGATGTTAACTATTGTTGTATTTGTTTAAGGACACCACAAACCATGCCCACAGAAGATGGCAAAATAAATTGATAAATGTTATGTGTGTTCTAACTGCTCCACCAACCAGCCATTCTCCCATTTTTCTTCCTCTCCTTGGGCCTTCCTGTTCCCTAAGACAGAACAATAATAAAATTGGATCAATTATTATCCCTACAATGTCCTCTAAGTGTTCAAATGAAAGGAAGAGTCACATGTTTCTCACTTTAAATCAAAAGCTAGAAATGATTAAGATTAATGAGAAAGGCATGTCAAAAGCAAAGGAAAAGTTCTTGGGGGAAATTAAAAGTGCCATTCCAGTGAGCATACGAATGATAAGAAAGTGATACGGCCTTATTGTAGATAAGGAGAAAGTATTATGGGTCTGGATAGAAGATCAAATCAGCCACAACATTCTCTTAAGCCAAAACCCAATCCAGAGCAAAACCCTAACTCTATTCAATTCTTTGAAGGCTGAGAGAGGTGAAGAAGCTGAAGAAGAAAAGTTTGAAGCTGTCACAGGTTGGTGGATGAAGTTTAAGAAAAGAAGGCATCTCCATAGCAAAAAAGTTTAAGGTGAAGTTAGCAAGTGCTGGTGTGGATGCTGTGGTGAGTCATCTGGAAGATCCAGTTAAAATAACTGATAAAGGATGCTGTACTAAATAACAGATTTTTATCATAAACAAAACTATCTTATATTGGAAGAAAATGCTATCTAGGACTTTCATAGCTAGAGAGAAGTCAGTACCTGGCTTCAAAGGACAGGCTGACTCCCTTGTTAGGAGCTAAAGCCTTTGGTGACTTTAAGCTGAAATGCTCATTTACCATTACCAAAATCCTAGAGCCTTTCAGAATGATGCCAAATGTACTCTTCCTGTGTTCTATAAATGGAACAACAAAGTCTGGATGGCAACACGTCTGTTTACAGCATTGTTTACTGAATATTTTAAGCACACTGTTGAGATCTACTGCTCAGATAAAAAGATTCCTTCCAAAATAGTACTGCTCACTGACAATGCACCTGGTCACCCAAAAGTTCTGATACAGATGTCCATGGTTATTAATGCTGTTTTCACATCTGCTAACACAACAGCCATTCTGTAGTCCCTGTATCAAAAAGTAGTTTTTACTTTCAAGTCTTATTATTTGAGAAATACATTTCATAGGGCTATAGCTGCCATAGTTAGTGATTCCTCTGTCAGATCTGGGCCAGGTAAATTGAAAGCCTTCTGGAAAGAATTCACCATTCTAGATGACACTAAGAACATTGGTGATTCATGGAAGGAGATCAAAATAGTAGCATTAACAGGAGTTTGGAAGAAGTTGATTCCAACGTGCATGGGTGACTTTGAGGGCTTCAGGGCTTCAGTGGGGTAAGTAACTGTAGATGTGGTGGAAATAGCAAGCAGCCAGGACTGTTGATCAGTCAGCAGCCATCAACACCAAGGCAAGACCCTCCACCAGCAAAAGGATTACAACTCGCTGAAGGCTCAGATAGCATTTTTTAGCACTAAAGTATTTTTAATTAAGGTATGCACATTTTTTTAGGCATAATGCTCTCCTACACTTAATAGACTAAAGTATAGTGTAAATACAACTTTTATATACACTGGGAAACCAGAAATCTGAATGACTTGTTTTACTGTGATATTTGCTTTATTGAGGTAATCTGGAACTGAACTTACAACATGTTCAAGGTATGCCTGTATGACTAAAATGAAATAGAAAAAAAAGTACTATAAAGGATCAGGTCCAGCTATTGATTGCAGGTGACAATCTATCTTAGCCATTCCACAAGTGGATCTAGCTGTTGAGTTGCCAATGCTATAGTCATCCATTTCTGGTAAGAATAGAGGCATGACATAGCATAAGAGAAAAGCATTCTCTTCAAAATGTTTAATTTATTCTTACTCCTAAAATAGGAAGTTAGTTGACTCTGCAATCCAAACAGAGAACAGCAATTTTGACTACAGCTAAGAGACGCAATTGTTTCCCTAGTTTCCCACAATAGTATTGCAATGAGAAACACTGTATTTAAAAGTTTGACCCCTAGTGGATATATCAGGCATAAAACTGCCACAAACTAAAGAGGGATTTGATGAAGGCCAAGGAGAGGAAGGAGATCTGCCCCTAAGGTGCAAGAGTATGCCACTTTCTTTGTATACTGAGAGAGCTTTTGTGAAACTGTTTTGTAAGACTGATTTTTCTGCATTTCACTCTTAAAGCACTCCCCAAGGGCAATATAAGCTATGCCCACACTTGAAGATTCTTCATAAGAGTTTCCCAAATGAGAGTTTTTTTCCAATTCCTCTGGCAAATTCCAGTGATCATCCACTTGCCATCTGACTCCTGCTGAGGCATGATGCTCATCAGGCACAAGAACACAGGATTGGGGGAGATTTTTAAGTTTAGTAATTTATTCCTTGGCATTCTTCATGTTCTGTATGCCAACTGCTGTTTCATGCACATTACACATATTAACTCATTTAATCATTAATCATTTAATCATTCCTATAACACTTGAGCTCACGCCAAGCTCTTATGATATCAGACCCCGTGCTTGCTGTAAAATAGCCGTTTCTCAACGAATTCACAGTAAACTATGTGGGGTAGATATATAACACAATGTTCCATAATTATCTGTTTAAAAGCAGTGATTAATTATGCAGAGAGAAATACAGAGTTGTAGAGGAAGAGTACCTAATCTAGGAGGGAGGGAGCAGGGGAGGTGTCAGGGAGGGCCTTCTGAAGGGGTCACCTGAGCGCTGAGCCTCTAGAGTGAGCCAGCAGAGTGGGGCCGTGACACAGTGAGGACGTCTCAGAGGGGAGAGCAGGAACAAATGCACAGAGGTAATAATCAGTACTAGATGTGTGCAAGTCCCACTGGCTCAGGGTTGCAGAGCATAAGGATGGAGAAAGACAGTGCAAAAGATGAGGCTGAAGGTGAGCACAGGGTCAAGTGCAGGAGCTTAGTCTTTGACCCGTGTAGACAAAGGGATTTCCCTGAAGACTTTTAATCAGGAGAATGAATGTTCAGATTTATATTTTATATATTTCATATAGTTTAGATACATAGTCTGGTGGCAATGGGGAGGGTGCACGATTAAAGATGTACAATTAGTTATGACACCTGTATCATTATAGCTATAAACTTCAACACAATAAGTATGCATATTGTGAGTATAATAAACTACTGGGTAGCTTTCTGTAGTGCACTTGACTATGCACTAAATAATGAATCAACTACACCAAGGAAATCTTACGTTTTTAAACTTTCGTTAAACTTTAAAGTTTCCTCCTTTGTTATTTACCTGAAGGGAGATGTGACTAGACCCATTTCTGGTTAAAAGCTACAGGAAATTGAAAAACTTAAACCTTCTCTCTTCTAGTCTTGTTTTTTCATTGACTAGCTGAGAGTCATTGGAACAAACTTCATCTTCCTCAATCATAAAATAAATGGATTAGCACAGTTGGTGCTTAAGTTCTGATAAACACAAAAGTTCTGTGAAGTAATTTCTATCATTTTTAACACTTTCTTAGTCTTCATAGGGAATTGGCGGCAGATACATAAGTACCCTTATATATCTCATCTCAGTATTTGTGAGTAGGCCCAGTAGCGTGATTATGTATGATAATGAAAGCTCACAGATCTGCAACATTAACATTGTAGATTTAAACATACATACCGGGCTCCTGCTAAACAGCATGGAATGCGTTTTTGTGTGGGCCAGGATATTAAACTATCCAGAATACCGTTATGTGCCAACATAGTGAGCAGAGTTTGATGTTTTAACTTTAAGAAACCTTTTTGAATTCTTCTTTTACTTTTTCTTAAGTGATGCTCTGATAGAATTTATAATTTGGAAAAAATATAAAAATTGGCTAAAGGGTTAGCCAATTTTTTTTTAGCCAATTTTTATATTTTTTCCAAATTATAAAAAAGGCTTTAGCCAATTTTCCAAATTATAAAAAAAGGCTTTAGCCAATTTTTATAAGAAAAATTTCAAAAATTAATGAAAATTCTGTTAACATTTAAATTGTTAATAATAAGAAGTTCTTGAAAAATTCTACCAGGGTAAAAAACAAGTGCGCCTGGCTAAAGTGACAATGTGTTTCAGAAGTGTATCTAATTTTAACAATTACAAACTTCAGAGCAGGTAGTAAGAGGTAGGACACACTTTGCTTTCTTGAAACCTGGTAAAAATGCAGGGACTTGCTTAAACCAACAAATGATTATCCTTCACATTCAGGTGTAAACAAGACCCTGATTCATGACCTGGATTGTTCTTTCTCTTTAAGGGCATTCACGTGGGGGGGGTGGGGGGGTGGGGGGGGTGCTTCACCTGTGTGTGAACCAAACCATCTACAACAGTTCACTTTTATGGTCTTCGGACATGCTGTTGGGTGATTTTCTGTTCAGGTGGGCAGATCCACCATCTAACCACCCAAATCATTACAGTGGATGAAATAAAAGACTAAGACCCCATCTCATGACCAAAGATGTAATGTCTTGTCAATGACTTGGTGTGTACATTTCTTTTAAAATGAGGAAATCAGTAATTCCATCACCAAGTATCTAGGCTGTCCACCTGTTTAAAATAAAGACATAATCATTTATTTGCTCCTTGGGGTGTGAATCCAGTTTTAGAGCAGTTTTCCTTGAACAGCATGGATGTATGTGGGCACATGGAATGAAACTCTCTCTCTCTCTCTTTCTCTCTCTCTCTGTGAGAAAACAGAGCAAGTTCTAACCCATGATGGGAAATAACCAAGTAACATGGCCCTGAATACATGCATGGGCAGTAATGAGATTGCCAGTGGTCAGCGGAAGATGAAGGGGAAATGCCTGTCTAGGAGACAGCGTGCCTCGTGCAGAGACCAAAGCACTGCTCCTGAGAGAGGCAATTTTTCCGTTGCTGTTGGCAGGGATGGATACTAATGCAAATCATTCAGGGCCCTACAAAAGGCTTGACATGGTCCGAACTTGGCAGGAGCTGGTTGGGATTGTGGCATTTATCCCCTTGCAATCCTTTAAACTGACATGACGCCTTCCTGTCTCCAATCTCAGACTGACCACTTGGGGTGGTTGCTTTCAGGCCACTGTGACAAGAGCTGACTGCAGTGGTTTTGAGTTTGGTGTGACAGGGCAGCAGTCCAGAGCTGAAAACAATAGACTGAGACAGAGAGTCTGCCTGAGCTGGAAAGTTCCCTGCAGCACTCAACTGCTGTGTCCAGTGGTCTCTCAAGGGAATGCATGCACCTCAGGGATTAAAAGCGATGAGCCACTGAGGTGCAGGATGCCATTGCTATGATGCTATTTACATTCATTTGCATTTGATTTCCATTTTGTGTATATTTTATGAAATACACAATGTATTAGTACAATTGCTTATACATTATACATTTATAATGTATAAGCAAATATATGCATTTATTGGGGGAACAACGTGAAATATTTTTATCGATAGGGATGCATAATCAAATAGGTGCACAGGTCACTGATATGTCGTTCAGGTTAATGTATGCATTTCTTGAAGAGGGTCTTTTTTGCCTCTGAAAGAGTTCCTCAGATTCCAGAGTTCTGTTTCTTTCTCATTGTTATTAATCATCATATCACCTCTGTCTACTCTGTATTCTGTAATCTGTTTCCATTTTTTTTTAGGAGCTAGTTCTTAAAAAAAATCTAATTTAAAAATTTTTTATTTTAAAAAGGTAAAATTT